AGATGGCAGCTTCCTAGCTTTTAAGGTCCCAGTCGCTACTCACCAAAGTAGTAGGTGAAACAATGTTTTGTATAGTATGTTATGCCAATTGAGTTCCATCAACACTTTTTAAGAATATGGAAAAACCAATCACTAACTTTATATGGAAAGGAAAGAGACCTCAGATAAGCAAAGCACTATCGAAGAAGAACAACAAAGTAGGTCTCACACTGCCAGATCTCAAAAACAGCCACAGTAGTCAAACTGCCTCAGAAACCCAATGAGGGCTATTATGAGTCAGAATCAACTCAATGGCAGTGAGTTTGTTTGTTTGTCTGTTTTTCAACAAATTATTAGCAATTATTCTAGTTATTCCATGGCCCTTCTGGAAAGCTCATTCTCTGTCCAGAACAAGAAAAAAAAAAAACTGCCTGGTATTGGTACGATGACATACACAGATACCAATGGAATAGAATTGAGAACTCAGAAACAGATCCATCTACCTGGCCAGCTGATCTTTGGCAAAGGGCCGAAATCCACTAAATGGGGAAGAGAATGTTCGTTTAATAAATGGTGCCGGCAAAACTGGATATCCATTTGCAGAAAAATGAAATAAGATCTGTACCTCACACCATACACAAAAACTACGTCCAGATGGATCCAAGACTTAAATGTGCAACTTAAAACTATAGAGTTCCTCAAGGAAAACTAAGGGCAAATTTGTTGTTGTTGTTATGTGCTGTCGAGTTGGACACAACTCCTAGCGACCCCTCCTTGGGTTTCTGAAGCGGTATCACTACACAAGTAGATTGCCCAATCTTCCTCCGGAGGAGTGGCTGGTGGGTTTGAACCACAGTCAAGTGCCTCAGGCAGTATGCTATCAGAGCTCCTAGGAGCAAATTTAGAGGTCCTAATATATGGCATAGGAGCTCTGGTAGCATAGTGGCTAAGGCACTTGACTGCTAATCAGAAGGCTGGTGGTTCAAACCCACCAGCCATTCCTTGGAAGGAAGGTTGGGCAATCCTACTTCCGTAGTGATACTGCCTTGGAAACCCAAGGAGGGGT